GTCATATGGTAAAGAAAATATGACCACCTTGAGTAAACTGACTGGCTTATTTATATCATATAGCCCCAACACTGATGCCTTGGGATAATTTAAATAAGAAGTGCATTCTGCATATTCCTTAATTTTAGGTTTATCGTTTATCTGTGTGCTTTCAGCTTGAATAGGCAGGTAAAATAAGCTTCTTTTGCGTTCAGTTACACATTTATTTCTCCAAATGCAAAGTTAGTTTAAGAAACTACCATGTTGTTCATCTCTCAGTTGCGCTCATACACATGATCACATGGACTTGATCTGAAAAATAGCTTAATTTAAATGATCTGGGATTTAAAAAAAAAAAAGTATAGGAGTGAAAACCCATCCACAAACCACACCAGAACCATCACCACCACACTGTTACCGATCTGCCAGGAGATGAGAACAGAAATGAGCATGTTCATCACTTTTTCCAAATGCTGTTCAGTAAATTTAGTTACACACAAGGAGGAGTGTCCGGAATAGTTTCTTAACCTTTTTATCCTATTACTTAACACTCAGAGAAATTCTCCTTTAGATCCCAGGTATTCTCCATTATTCCAGATTCCAGGTACTCTTCAATATGACATACACTTCAGAGTACACCTTGTGATTGTTTTTTTTTCGTTTTGCCCTCAGTCTGGTTTTTAACAGCTATGACCCCGCTGGCTTCTAGCATCGTGTTGGTGGTAAACAGGAGAGATAGTTGGATTGTGACTGATGAATGCTGATTGTAGTCTTGTACATGCACCTTGTAAATGTAGTGTGTGTGATATATGAAAAAAAAAAATAGCAAAAGCTGGTAGTTTGTTGAGGTGGGGAGGGATCATAGAGAAGGAATATTTACTTTCCCTACAAGAAACAATCTGGAAGAGCGAATCTTTGAATTCAGTAGCTGTTACTTCATATTGGCTACAATTAAGTTTAACTGAATGGTGCTTAAAACAGCTTACTTGTGTGAGTTGAAGGAGAGAATAATTTTACAAGTGGAGTTTGAGACCTTCCTGAAGCCTTTCTTGTATCAGTAGGGCAATGTTTTCAGTTTCGTTCAGTCGTCAGCCACGTAATATGTAATGCTCATGTGCTAGAGTAGTTGTACTTGCAGCCTCTTTTATCTCCAATTTCTGATACAAATTAAAAAGTTGCTAGAATGTTTTGGCTCTTGTGTCCCAGTCTTGCTCATGCTTCTTATTACAGCTTAGTCTGTATTAGTATTTACTTACATGAAGTGTTTCCAACCAAAGTGAAGTAGTGCCTGAATTGTTGGTTGTTGGGAGGTGCAGAGTCAGAGTGGTTTAGTGGCAAGGCAGTGGTGTATTTTTCTGTGGCTTGTTTTGGAGCAGTGTTTGTCAGCTGAAGATTTGTCTGCCAAGTGACAAAAAGCAGCTTCTACACTTGAGGAAATTGCAGGTACATGAGCCGCATTGCTAAAATGAAAATCCTAATGAAATACATTGATCCTGTATTTCAGGATCTGGCTTCCTGCCCTTCCCTTTTTTTAATTTAAAGACTACAGGGTCATAACCTTAGCAGCAAGCACATAAGAACATGGATGCACATAAACATTTGACCTGCTGAGCTAATAATCTATTCAATCCCAAGATCTGCAAGGAGAAGCGAGTTCTTTAATGACATCTTTTGTTTGCTTTCCATCGTTCACATAAAGCAATCTCCTCTGGACTTTTCTGTTCTCTGTAGAGGGATTTCAGAGGTGCTCCTGATGGTTAAGTTACCTTTGTTTCTTCCTAGCCCAGCAATTTTGAAACAGCAGTATGGAAACAAGTCACGCATGGAATACGTGGTGAGGTTTGAAAAAGGCTTCCTGTAATGGAAAGATAAGCCTCGATCTTCCTGCATGATCCTCAAGCAGTTGTCCTCATTTGGCAAGCTCTTTGAGCTAACCCTGTTTCCTATTGCAATACATCTGGGTCACTGGAAAAATATGTGTTTAGGAGGAATGCATGAGGTAGGGAAACCAGGTTACATCATCCTCGGAGCTTGTCAGGCCATGACTGCTTTCTAGCTTGTCCTGAATCTTGTTCAGGGGAATCCAGGTAACTTGGAAGTTATTTTCATCTTGATCATGCTCACAATGAAGGATGAGGGCTCTTGAAAATTTTGTTTTGAGTGTTTCTCGGATTTGCGCCGGGTGACATCAAGAGGAGGTAGGTCAGAACACTTGAATCATCTTTAATCTGTGAAAGTAGTCATTTAGAGCACTTCTGAAGTGTCAGTTGCCTGTGGTAAGAGTGGAATGTGCAGCTACTTACATAGCCAACACCATAAGCCTTGCCTTTATAGTCACATATTAAAGTTCTGGGTACATCAAAATTTGTTTGTTGGCTGGGGGAGAGGTGTTCGTGTGCCTTCATGTTTTAGGTGATAATGTGTGATACGCGTTTATACAGCAGCAGTACCATGCAAAACTCATGTTGTTTGTTCAAGTACTGTGGATGGCCATCAGAACTTACAAGCATTGATGGTCAGCGCAAAACCTCCATCTCTTCTATTCAGGTGACTTGAGGGGGGATTTTGTGCTTGTCATGTCATGCCATTGATTTAGTCCCATTTGCAACAGAACACAAAATAAAAATTGAGGAGAAGAAAGCAAAGATGATACGAACTAGAGTTCTGTAGTTCTTGAAACACACAGTTGTGAAGTAGTATAGACAGTGTTTAATTACCATATATATTACTGTTTTACATGTCTCCTTTTGTACTATGAAAGGATAATGAAATCACTGTGCTTCCATTTCTACTCATTTTTTTCTGTGTCTCTAATCACTTGTGTAAATCATTTTGATACATGGAAGGTGAATCCTTGAATGACAGTAACCAACCTCAGTAACAGAGTACTCTCTGCAGTGACTTGTTACCAGTAAAACTTTCCCATCCTCTGCGAGGCAAGCATTATATATTCATGTTGTAACTACACTGAATCAAATAGAATTCATATTCATGAGACTGATTTCTTACTTGATGTACAGGTTGCTTTACCAGGCATACATTAACTTGGATTTTTCAAGATATTTATTTTCTGTATTTTAGAATTAATACCTTGAAAGCTCTGACCTAGGAAGAGATGGTGGTGGATTTTTATTGGCTTGAAGTGCGAGTCAGGGAAAGAACAACTTCCCTTGTTGCGGAAGGGAAGGAGCTGTCCGCTATTTCCTCTGCACTGCTGGTAGTTGTCCCTCCTTATCCTTGGTCTCCAGCCTGTTCTCCGGATTCCTTCATGTTGTTACCTCATTTCTGGGATGGCATTGCGAAAGACACCAGCATAGGCAGGGTTCTGGAGGCCGCTGCTCCCTGTCTGTGTTGCAGAAGTACCATAAGAGCAGATACAAGTTAGTGGGCCGTTGCCATTTGCTTAGTGCTGGTACTATTGCTCCTGTCATTTAAGCAATGATTTTTAAAAAGAGCACCTTTTTGTAGGAAGAGTGATGTAGGCATGGCCTTGTAAGGTGACTTGGCCTATTAGGAGATACTGGTAAGAGCTATTAAAATGTCCTGAAAATACAAGCATTTATTTTCAAAAAACGGTGACCAGAGATCTTGAATTCCGAGGCTTCAACAGCACACAAAACCAGCAGTTCTTTTCATATTTTGTAGTCAAGATGTGTATTTCTGTGTGTGTTACCACATACCATTTCTTTACTCATCGGAGACTGCTGCTCTTTGAGGCAGGACAGAGACAGTTAAGGAAAACAGAGCACTGTGAGAGTAACACACTACACTCAGTGCTTGAAGTGACTTGTTAAGTCACAGGAATATTGATGCAGGCATGAGATTTGGTTTTGGGTATTAAGATACATAGCCAGTGGACCTGCTGACAGGGGGCTCCATTTGAAGACCTCAGAGTGTTCTATGTATTGTCTTTCTCTGTAGAAAGATCAAACTGTTATACAGCAAGTGCAGGAGAGGTTACTTCTGGTTAATTCACCTAGCTTTCAAAAATAATTTTTCAGGTTGATATAGTTAATTATAACCCACCCCCCACCATTAAATGTGTTCACAGTCCTGATAGGATTTGCACAGAAGACTGCATTAAAATAGCAGAAGTCTTTTTTTTAAGACCTGTTTTACGGCTGAAAATTCTCAGTTCCACAATTAGGCACTATGTGATTATAGTACTTTGTCATTTAATTCCTCTTTGTTCTTTCTTTCCTTTGGTAATATATTCTGTAACAAAGTACTTTATTATAAAGCTGCTTTTGTTTTTTCTCTTGTTACATTCATACGGACCTTTAACCTGATCCTAGATACTAAAAGCAATACTCGAGTCTTTGTTTTTGGCTGATTCTGTTTTGCCATGAGTAAGTTCATATGTTTTAAGTTGGAGGTAACTGGAACGTTAAAATACATGTAAATGTAGAATGGTTACAAATGTTAACACTGGCGTACTGTCTATGAACGGTTATTATGTATTATTAATCCCTGAAGAGTTAGGAATTCAGTAAAATCAAAGTAACATTTCTAAAAGATGCAGGGTCTTAATTTTTTTGTTTTGGTTTGGTTTGTTTTTTTTTGTTTTTCTGTTTTTTTTGTTTTTTATGTGTAGTTCTTGAGGGGTGGGTTTGGGACTTTTAAATTTGCTCTTTGTCGGTTTTGGTGGGGTAAGGGACTAATGAGTTAATAGACTGCTTTAAATAATGATGCAGATGTCACCTTGAAATATCTCCTAATGAAAATATTAACTGGGCAGAACAATTATATCCTTGTCCTCATTTATAACCAGAAAATGCCTCATGTTGGAGACCATATTAATTAACGTGACTTTAAAAGTAAGTTTGACTTGTGTACTAATACTTAATGCAAAGCCTAAAGGAAAAGCAGCTCGGTGGCAGTTCACACTCCCACTAAAGATGTGTGCTTAAAATGTCCACAAGCTTTCTCATCCTGTTGACTTCTCCGAATACTTTAATTGTACTTTATGCTTCAAATCTGTTGCTGATATTTTTTTTTCCTTCTTCTCTGTTCTCTTTCAGAAAGATGAGGTGTACCTCAACTTGGTGCTGGACTATGTTCCTGAAACAGTATACAGAGTTGCCAGACATTATAGTCGGGCCAAACAGACACTCCCTATGATTTATGTCAAGGTAGGTAACTGATAGATGTGGTTAGATGAACAAGGTTATTATAGGAATAGACTCTGTGAATGCCTCTTTTCTGATATAATTAGTTTTCTGAAATTTTTAGGAGCACATACATCTTGAGGCAAGAGGGGGGAAAAATAATGATAGAATGCTGGAGGTTTAAAGCAAGCATTCCCTATTTTCTCACTTTATAAAAAATCTTGGAATGCGTGCGGGAGACTTTGGGGGGAGTGTTTTGGTTTTGAAGCAGCTTAGATAGAGACTGTCACCAGCCACATTAGTAGCTTTGGTTTCCTGAGACGATGGAGACACAATAATACAAAGGTCAGGAACTGAAAGAGGATGTCAGGAAGAATAATGTTCTCTTATGTTATCTTTGCCTTTTTGTGGCATGTGAGTAAGAGTTCACGTGCTTCTGTTGTGGGCATGTTTTTGTCCTCACTTAAGACGCATTGTCTCTTGTCTTGAAAAGCCACATAAGATGCTTGTGTGCACATTGTAGCCTCAAAACCTCACTTTAAGTTGTCTGCATCTTTTACAAAGTGGTTAAAATGAATAATTTTTTTTTTTTTTTTTGTCAAACATGGGACCCGTCAGGGTCTCATAGTTCCATTTCACACATTGTGGTGACCACAGTCTACACAATAGTGAATGATCGTGTTTTCCCATGGCATGAATTTGTTAACATAGCATCCAGGTAACAGTCAATGGAAACTAGCAGCAAAAATTCTGATTTGTATTGATTTCTCCAGATTCCTCTTTGAAAGTGTAATGCTTAACGTGAGGGTGGTCTTATAAAAACTTCCATTTAATTGAAAGAAGATGAAAGTTATGGAGGTGAAAGCTACAAATAGTAATTATCCCAATAATGAAATGTTGTGGCATAACTGTTTCTGCATAAGTTGTAAATGGCATGTCTCTGCAATAGCCAGCACTGATACCTGTTTTCAAGAAATCACAGAATTTTATCATCTGGCAGTTACAATTTGTACTGCAAGGTCACTCTGTTTGGTCTGTTGGTGGAACAGCATGTCTTCAGGTTAGAACATATTCCCCAAAATGTTAGCTTAGCTTTTGATAAATTGTTTATATATCTTTTGTCAGTACTCTTGTCCTAATTGCTCTTCATTATGGGAACTTGGGAAAAATTGTCCTTACTTACACTTTGAGAGAAAATTCTGTTTCAACACTTTGATCTTGCTGGATGCTTGGGACTTTCCGTTCCAGGTAGCCTGCAAGGCTGTTATTTTTCTGGTAGGGCAAGCCTTTCTCATAATCCTGGTTTAAAAAGATCGTGATACTTTGATGTCATTAAAGCTTTTGCAATTTTTCCAGACATCTTGGCTATGCAAAGTCCAGATATGTTCACTTCTTATTGATACATAGGCAGGCAGAGAGCTACTCTTCCCAGGGTAACAAAGAGAATGTTAAAGAACTGCAGAGAAGCTTTTCTAGTAATCTTTTTGTTATTTTTTACTTGTAACTTCTAACATTCTGTAAGAAATTATTGGAAGTTTTGAGTTTGCTGTGTGGAGATGAAAGGCATACTTTCTAAATCCTGCATGCGTTGACTTGACTACTCAAGTTAGAGCAGTCTTTTGCATTATTTTGCAATACACTTGCACAATACATAGTTAATGTGGCTAGGACAGGCAATTCAGAAAACATGTTTGCTTGCTTTTCTTTGTGCAGAGTTGTGGTTTTCAGAAACAAATATGAAAGCTAAAGACCTAGAGCCAAATTTCAAGCGATTCTCCTCCTGCTCCTATCTTCCCTGCCAAACAAACGACAAAAAACAAGGGAGAGAGAAAGTGTAAAGACAAAGATAGTGGTGAAAGTGATGTAAACATGACCTGATATCAATATCTAGCAATTGCACTCGGTTTTACAGACTGTTAAAGGTGAACTGTAGACAACGTGCTTAGAAAATGAAAGCGTGGAGGTGCACCTCCAGTACAGTGTGCTGCCTGTAGCTTGACTTTAAATAGAAACTTGTAGGGGACACAAGAAAGATAGCAAATAACCTGACAGCCTGTTGTCAACCTTGAAACAGGGCTTCATATGTCTTTATGAGTGTATATGCTATACAACCCTGATTGTATCCAGCACCTCTTTATTCTTCATAGCCAAAAGTATGTAGCTCCAGCAGCTGGACATCCTCCCCATGCCCTACAATCTTGCCTTGTGAAGCCCCTTGGCTTCATAAAATCTCCCCTTGATGTATTCATCCTTGTTAAGGGGTTAGCCAGCCTTGGAAAGGGGGCAGAGAAAACTCTCCCTCAGCATACTTGTTTGCTGTGCCTTGCATAAAATTATTCTGAACAGTTGTTTTTGTCTGCCTTCTCTTTTTGCCCAGAGATTTGAAATTAAAAAGAGTCTGTCCCTTCACCAAGAGAAACTGGGAGATTCACTCAAGTGACAGGCTGAGATACTACCATAGTCCTTGGGCAATGTGTAATATGTTGTTAATAACTTCATCTGCTAGAGGGTTTTCTTTGGGGTTTTGGGCGCGCTTTTTTTTTTTTTTTTTTATACTTCATTTCTGTGAAGAGGCTGATTAAAAAAGCAAACTGAAACACCTTTATTTTGTTTGGGTTTTATGACTACCGTTATTTATAAATGTTGAAAAGCTGACACAATTTTCTTTTGGAATTGTGCTCATTTTTGAAAGGAAAAATGAACAAATCTGAACTGCATGTGTGGGTATGTGGCAAAGGGTGGGTGAGGGGAGGTATGCATATACCTTGCCCATCTTCATAGCACTAATACGCATTCAGCAGAGTCTTCAAATTATTTTGGTTTTCTTCTAATAAGAATTTGTGCTAAATTTACCCTGTTTTGACTGGGAAAGCATGCCTTATGCAGTGTTTCTGTGTTACAGTTGTACATGTATCAGCTGTTCCGGAGTTTAGCCTATATCCATTCCTTTGGGATCTGCCACCGGGATATAAAACCACAGAACCTCTTGCTGGACCCTGATACAGCTGTTCTAAAACTCTGCGACTTCGGAAGGTAAGCGCATCTGTGGCCTCAAACCTGGTGAAAAGAGCTTCCTTCAAAGTGAACGTGGGTGCAACTTTGCAAAGAAATCCTTTGTGTTCCTCAGAAGGGCTTAATTTGTAGTTTTGAAAGAGAAATCACTGATATTCTATTTTCATCTTAAAATGAGTTCATGTGAGAGAGGAGGGGAAAAAGAGCTGGGAAAGGATATCAAGAGGGAGGGAATCTGCCTGTTATTTATGCAGATATTAGAAAAATAAAATAAATGCACTGTCACATAGGGAAAATACTGTGCCATGGAAAACCGCAACCAAATATTAGGATGAGATGTGTTTGGGGAAGAGAAAACAGGCACAGTGGCATAGTAACTTTAAAAGGCTAATGTTACACTTTATTAGTCTAATTGTATGTACACTAATTCACTCAATATTTCAAATACCATTAGAGGCTCAAGAATCAGAAGCAGCAGTTCTAATTGAAGCTCTTAAATAGTGGACAGTTGTATCCTAGTTTCTGATAGCACATTTATTTCCAGTATCCATTCAAGTGAATCACCCTTAGAGTCCAGCCCCCATCTTAGAACTGATACAGCAATTTTGGGAATCCACACTGAGACAGGAGAAAGATTTCTCCCTGGGAAAATTCAGTCTTTAGATTGTGCTATAACTTTGCAGACTAAAATAGTTAAGGCATATGTGTGAGAGGTCATGGAAGCTGCTGTTGCTAAATTTGCTTGCCCATAGCGATTGGGAATGTCAGATGGTGGTTATTCAAGCAATGCATGGTCATGCCTGGTGGCTCGAAAATCTCCTCGGCTCTACCTCACCAGTGTTGGAGCAAAATACGAATCACATTGAAACTCCAAAGTAACAATGCGTTAAAAGGTGGACTTCCTCTGCATTAACAGTGGGAATTTGTTAATTGTAACTTCTATATAGAAAACAAAAAACTTGAGACTTTTGTTTTCTTAAATTCTTCCAAAAGTAGTGGTTGGGCTAATACTGTAGGTTAGATCCTTTGTGACTGATCTCTTGTGGTATGAATGAAGCCTTCATGTTAATCATGAACCATTAACATTTGACTACAATGGCAAAAGGGTTTTTTGTTTGTCTCTTCATACCTCTTTTGCCTCATACCACACTCCCTTAAACAGCAGAGAGCCAGAATATTCAGATGGCAGTTAAAAAAAAAAAATAAATACTCCAAATTCTGGTGAGTATCCAGAGCTTTTGAACCTTAAAAGGTAACTGTGTTTGACCTAACTGTATTCTGTTCTCTTTTTCTTTGTAAACAAACCTTTGTACCTGGTAAAAGATAACTGCCATCCAAAAATCTGACCCTATTTATCATCTAGATTGTAGTCAGAATTTCCTTTGGTATGTCCAGTATAAGGTAGCTGCTTGATAGATCGGACTGATCTCATAGTAAATCATTGAGTCTGTGGCTTGCATCAGCTTAGAAGAACATGGTACTTTCGCATTTAGAAATTGGGGGTGGGTGAAGAGTGCCAAAGCTTAATGGTGGGTCTGCACTGCAATATTGTAAAACTATTAAAACGATTATTGTTTTGTTTCCTTTTCAGTGCAAAACAGCTGGTTCGTGGAGAACCTAATGTCTCATACATCTGCTCTCGGTACTACAGGGCACCAGAGTTGATCTTTGGAGCCACCGATTATACCTCCAGTATAGGTACGTATGTGTATTTATTAAAAATCTATACCAACTGCATGAATGTTTGTTCTGTAATTAAGTGTAAAGGTTTCCAGAGATCTCAGATATAATGCCCAAAGGCAGAATTTTATTGTAAATGGTCAGGTACCAATTCTTAACAAAATACACACATTTTTAGACAGCTGCTGTGATTTCGACAGCAGCTCTTGAGATTTCATTGTAAATTATATTAGGAAAGGGGCTTCTTTAATGTATGGAGAGACATCTGATTTCAAGGAAAAAAAAAATCAGGTAATTTTGCCATTTAGTTTAAAAGTAGGTGTGAGATCTCAAGTCAGAAAAGCATTTGATGAACCTGTAAAGGTTGATTGTAGAAATACCAACTACTGCTTCTGATGTGCTGTGATTTAGGCACAAATAATTCCTTAACTTGTTTACTTGGCTTTAGTAAAGATTTTTTAGTGGGAGGGAAAATGGTCTGATGATTGGCTTTAAGCTCTTGACAGTTCTAATATATTGTGTACAGCAGTCTTTCTGATTCAGCTGATTCTGTTAAGTTTTGCTGTCCTTTAGTCATTAATTTTGAACACGAAGAAGACTTCTTTCTAATACCTGGCACGTAGCTGTGTCATGGAAATGTTAGGAAAGCTGGAGGGTTTGGCAGAAGTCAGGGAACAGCCGCATCAGCCGCATTTTCTTACAGTGGAGTCCTAAGAATGAACAGCAAAATGAAAAATCATAAAAATGAACAGCAGTGTGTTGGCTGGTGGTGGATAATTTCTTCAGTTTTTTAGTCAAGATATTCTCTGGGCTGCTTCTGAGTGTTAGGGCTAAAGAGATGAAATTTGGCTCTCGGGTTCCCCAGTATTGTGCCTAAGCATTTACCTTGCTTATGGACTTGAGTCTTTTAAGCAAGGTTTAATGTGTTGAAAAGGATTTAGAGATCATGATCGTGTCTTGGCAGAATATGTTTATAACCAATTAAAGTATGTTTACAGTTCTAACTGGTGTTAAACTCAGTGGCTGGCTGACTTGTTCCAGCTCTGCAGTTCCCTGAAAAAGAAACGTTCCTGAAGACTTACGTGATCTTGCTCCTTTTTTTTTTTCCATTAGTTATTCTTCAGTATGTACTGTAGCAACACTTGGGTATCTCCCCAGGAGTTTAAAAAAAAAAAAAAAGTCTGGTGAAAGTAATGGCACAATAAAGATGAAAGGGCGGATCTTATTTAATGGTTGGCTGCTGCCAGAAGTGACTGCCTCAGCCCTATTTTTTCCTGCCCCTGCATACGTTAGCTCTCACAGTTTACTGTTTAATATGCCAATTCAGCTTCAACTGACAAGAGACTTTTGGTTAGGTTAACTTCCTGCTACATTAGTGAGTTGAATCATCACTGCAGTGTAGTCTAATAATCAGCAGAGCCCAGGTAAAAGCAAAGTGGCGGGAGCTGGTGAGAGGGAGGAGGCTGATCCTGGCTGACATCTTTTTGCCAGCTGAGAGCTAATAGATTCGCTCAGCTGTGTTATCAGAGTGCACTGGGACAACTTGTTTTAGAGGATAACTGCATAAAACAAGTATTTTAGGTGTCACCAGAGGAGGCTGCTTTATAGATAACCCTGTGAAATGTCTCTTGCTCCAACTGTATTACTCTTTAACTTCTTTACAGACCCTTTTTGAAGTTGCTCTTTTCTAAAGTGACAAGTCCATTTTTCCACTTGCCAAACCCATCATGAATTTCAGACATTGTTTAGACTTTCTCATGCCCCCCCTTCAACCCTCTCCCCCAAGCTCCTTCTCTGAAACTTGAATGTAATAGCTTGAAGATGAAGTCCAACAAATACTTCTTCATTCCTATACTTCCCTCCCTCCACTTCCTTCTCACAGAATCTTTGCATTTGGGAGCTGAGAAGTAATAAAATGCTTTCCCAAACATATTTTTCAGTTTCCCAGTGTTCTGCAATATATTAGAAATTCTAGGGGATTAGTTTTGTGATGCTGCTGTTTCCAGTGGTGGTAAATGCCAGGGTATTTCTTAGTTTTTGATAAATAGGCAGCAACAGCACTTAATGAGAACTCTTCCCCATTTCACATAGGGTTGCTCATCCAAACTCAACCAGCATTATTTGTACACTAACCAGACAAGCACAGATAGGTTTCTTGAGAAAGAAAGAGGAAGAAACATTTAATTAAGAGTGTTTTATCCATAGCTCTAAGTACAGGGAACTGTGAAATGCTTCAATATTGAAAAAAAAAAAAAAAAAAAAAAAAAAAAAGTGGCCATGCTTGTGTTTTTTCTTGTTTTCTTCTGAATTGTTAGCACAACAGCCTTTACTTGCTGTAGTCTTTTTCTCTATATAAGAATCCACTTGTGCATGTGGTAAGAAAAACTGAGCTTACATGTAAAGTAGGGACCTTTACTCTTTTGTTTAAATATACTATCTTAAAACTACATTAAAAATAAAATCAGTGAAGTATATGAAGCTGGAAAGTGGTTTAAGTAGAACTTGTTTGTACATTATCTGTGAGACATCCAGCTGTTTTCCTAAGGTTTTTGTGATTTGCCAGCATTACTGCAGGGCCTACGATTGTAACATGCTGCAATATAGTAACTATTGGAAGTATTTGTGAGCAAGACATGCTTTTTGAAGCCTAGGCAGTGACACTGGTGGCCCAAGGCTGACAGTACAGCCAGCCTGCATCATGACGGTTTCAGTAGTTAGTCATCTTCTTTAACACTGTAACTGGGAGTCACTTTAGGCTAGTGGCTTCATTTACATTGTCTTTTAACACAGGAATTTGTTCTTGCGATGTTACTTGCTCTTCGGTGCAGCAAAAACTTAAGTTGGTTCCAGGATACGTCTTCATCCTGGATGTCACAACAGAACTGTAAACTGGCTTTTAACTTCTAGGACCTTGATTATTTCATCAAAGTGCATGACTTAAATTCTAACCCAAAAGATCCCTTTAAAAGTAATTCATAGCCAGGACTAGTGTTTGTTACACTTTTGTGAAGTACTGCATTAGTTCTGTATTTAAATATATATGATAGTAAGAGTAGCATCAAAACACATTTACTGCAATTAGTGCCTCTGTGTGCCGTCCAGCAGACCTGGGACTATTGTTAAAATAACGACCTGGGAAATTCAGGTTTTTAAATAGTCCTTGTTGCCAAATAGCTATAAATCCAGGCCCATAATGTCTGCTCCTTACAACTTTTAAGGTGTTTTCAGTGGTCAGGTACCAGCATTCATGTCACTTCAGTGCCTTCATAGCATGTCTAGGCCTTTGTGCACCTTTGACCATGAATTCTGCAAGTGTGTGCACATCCCTGAGGCTTGCTAGGATGGCATGTAGTTTTGTTCCTACAGCTGATTTTTCCAGAGTATTTTTTTGCAAACCAAGCCCTTCAGCTGTGCCTTGATGGTGTTTTGGCTGAAGCTTCTTCCTTGCAGGTCTGTGTGCTACACCATCCCAGAGTGTGTTGTTGGCCTGCTGCTGGCTGTGCTGGTCATAGGGGTGCTGCTACCTGCTGAAAAACCATGTGATGGTGGCCCGTGTTCCCCTACAACATCCTGGGATGAACACAGGCACTGGAACAGGGATGGGTGCAGATGTTTCTGTTGCCACGTGATCCTCTTTCATAAATAGAAGCTGTGCAGTTAAGCTTTATCTCCATAACGTACATTTTTTTTCTACTAGGTTAGGTGATGAGCCAATGGAGGGCTCACCAGAACGTGGTTGTTATTCTGGATAGCAAGGGTCTGCTGGTCTTGGCACATTTTCTCTGTCGCTGCGCTGGTTGGAGTTGAGAGCATTCCATAGGGAACATTTATAGCCACTGGCAAGGAAAGATTGATCTCTGTGTCTGTATTGCTGGCTTCTCTTGGGGTGTCCAAAAATAAGTGTCATCAAGTTATTCATTCGCTTGCCTAGTGAGTGCTAAGACGAAGGGAGAGAGTATTTCACCTCAGCAGTCTGGAGCAGAAGCTCCTCTGGAGGTGTGTGTAGTCGGGCTATCTCAGAGTTTCTTCTGAAAGAACCATCACAAGGTGTGTCCCAAACCTGTTGCCAAATGATGAAAAGTATTTGTCTCTGTCTCAGGTGACAATTTCCAATGCTGAAAATAAGCATGGGCATTAATTAACTATTCTATCACCAGTCATTGTAGTTTCATCTCTTGATTGCAGAAGAATAGATACCTGTTTATAGCTTTTGTTCCAAATACTGGAACAAGCATGGCTTTCCAAGTGTTTTTAGGTTTCAACCTTATTCTGTCTCCATAATCTGTGGATCTGTGGTGGCTTGATTTGCAAAACTTGCACTAGCACAGATGCTACAACTTTGCTCTTGTTCTGACATCCCCAGAATTGTTCAAAAACAGCAACAATGAAAAGCACTTTGGGGCCTGGCATTTGGCAAACTACAAGCTGCTGATTTTATGACTTCCTAGGGCTCCTTTTCTGACTCCTGATTTCTTCCCTGCTAGTTATTTCTACAGTTTCCAGAGCAACAACTTTGAGTCACCTCCAAGATGGAGGAAGTCCATCAAGATCAAGGGATAGTGAGGCGGAGATTAACATATGGGGGAGGGGGACACGACACACACGTAGAAGGGTAAATGTATCCAATAAAGTGTCAGATAAAGGAAAGTTCTTCATTTGTACTAAATGGATGAGAGCAGGTTCAACTTCTGGTTTTTTCCTCCCCCCTTCATGTCCTCTAAATAACGAGTTTAGAAGAGCTAGAGCATAATACAGTGAACAGTGCTCATGGCATGAAGAAGAGGGGGAGCTTCTCAGCTTTCAAAGGCAGAGCTTGAGATCACAAAAATGAAATTTGTGGACAGGGTATTCTGTCACAGACAACTGGAAATGGCATTGCTCGCTTGTCAAATTAAAGCAAAGGAGTATATTTTGGGGGTTGTCCTGCTGGATGCCTCTTCCTGAACAAAAGAGAAATTTTCCTTTTCTTACCTTCTCTAATGCTGGAATGGCATTCAAAAGCAAATGAATTCTACAGATTATATTATGAGACAAGTTAATATCCACTTAACAGCTGTGAAGATGAAAAAAGTAATAGAAAATTTAAGAAAAGTTTTGTAGTATAAAAGGTTATATGAATTTGTGTGCTTAAATTAGTGCAGGTAGTTCATGTGATAATGGTATTTGTCTAAGTGTTCCTCAGTCTACAAAAGTTATGGCATTAGCTGTTATTATAATGTGTGAAAGCTGTATGAAATAAGATTATTTGAAGGTTGCTTTTGGCTGGCAGTTGCATTTACTGTCCATGTTGTTTAGACTATATTTCAGAAAGCTGTGAAGAAAGTAGGCTTGCCTACTTTCCTGTACTTAATATTAATAGCTTTCAGTATTTTCTCTTAACGTTTCACATTGTCCCAACTAGTTTGGCATGAGGATGATTTGTTGACCTGTTTTCTGTTAAGGTTCTCTCTTATTTGTTTTTTAACTAGTTTAAAGCATGTGAATGATAGTGATATTTCACCTGAAATAAATTGCACATATTAAAAAGAAATAGTTCAGAAAATGCTTCTCCTCTCATGGGAGTGGGTGGTTATACCACAAGCTTGTTCTGAAAGATTATTAACCTGTAATAGTTAGCTGTGACCTGTGCTAAGGCAGAAAAGGGTCTGGGAAGGAGCAATCAAAAACTAGTATTAACTATCTTGTCACTTCTCAAGTAACATGTCTTTAAATACAGGATCCTAGTACATTGTTTACTTCAGACTTGAGAAATGTTACCATCCAAATTTGGAAGATAATTTTTAAAATTACAGATTCAAAGGGAGAAAGAATAAGGCCAGTGGTCCCAGAGCCAAAGTTTAGTCCTGTTAAGGTTGATGGCATAAATTTCATCAAGTTTCAGCAGAGCTGAAATTTCCGGGTTTCTGCCTTATTATACGCTGCTCACCAGACTTGTATAAACACCTATGTAAATGGTGTTTTGTTGCCATCTCTGCTTGGAGCTGGTGAAATTAAGCCTCTGCTCTCTGGCTTTCATCGAGGATGCTTCAAGGGTTTGTTCACTTCCTTGCCCAGGGAACATTGCTCAAGTCCTAATTTGAAACTTGGTGAAATTACACTCCTGGGAAAAAAAAAAGTTGGTGATTTTGGAATGCCTATAGCTTATTTCTATGTGTGTTTAAAGTGTTAGCAAGAAAAATCAAGGAAAATTAAATAGACTTTTAACAAGGCATTAAATCACCCGATTTGGAAGATTTTACTGTTTCTGATGGATTTGTTTTATGTTTGATGGATTAAACCCATCACGAATACAGCTGATATTCCTCAGACTTCCCCAGCTATTTCCTCATGACCTACATCCTTTCTTTTTCTCCTCTCTCCCCCTGCAATGCCCTCAACTTTCTCATACACATTCTGCTGCTTCTGCTCGGCCTTATTGGTTGTGGAAGGACCTGCATGCACATCCTTCAGCTTGTTTGCGGATGCAGTTTGGCAGGGTGGGGACAAGCCCAGCATGTCCCACAGGAACTGAGCCCTCCTCTCCTCAGCAGTCATTCTTTCCCTGCTGTTTCTACAAAACTTCTGTAATAAAGTTGAGACTTGTGCCTTTCAGCCTTATCTGAAATTGGCTGGTAGAGAGCAAAGGCATTAAGAGAGACTGGGAAAGGATAAAACTGCAGAAATCCAACTTCATGGAGCAGCCAGACCAGAAGATTATTTAAAACCGTTTTAAAAAGTTACAGTCTAATTTGAAAAAAATCATGGTAGTGTAGTTTCAGAACTTTAAAAGGAAGTGAATTGTAAATGCTGTCTTACTGTCATGTCAGCTTTGGGTTTGTGTATATTCTGTCAAATACTTTTCCTTCCCATATATCATTTCTTTTTTAGTGCAAAATAAGGATTGAAGTGCTAAATAATAATTATAGTTTTGGGGTACCACTTGTACTGTATACTCAGTGTGAAGGACAGCTTTTTCAAAATCTTCTAAGGTGTCTTTAAATAGACTTCTAAGTTACAGTACACTGCTTAGTACATTTAATCTGTTTCTTCAGTACTTCTGAAGAAATCTATGCTATCTCTTGTACTGTTGTGTAATTTCCTATAAACCCAGATTGCATGGGATGACATAAAAAGTGATTCTTTTAATCATCTTTTTGTGGTATGTGTTGGTCCGACAGCAGGAGCTGTCAGAGTCAGACATTTAGCAGTCGGATGTAATTAAATGTTCTTTACATGATGCCTCCTTCATTTGTTGTCCAAAAGAGATCTTGGCACCTTGGTGGCCATATCAAATTTTATTAAATATGACTAAAAATATCAAAAAGCATAATCTGGTATGTTTGCTTTGTTGAAAATCAAGGCTCAATCTTCCTTTTATTTCTGGTTGCTGTTCATATTGTAAGTAGTTACTTTTTAGGATAAACCTTGATGGTGATGTTGTACTAAGACATTACATAAAAATGCATCCATTTGACTTAGAGGTGAATGATTTTGAAAGCTACGGTAAATGAGCAGTGCTTTTTATCTACCATATGTTCCAATTGAACTATGCCTTTCTTGAGAAGAGGAAGTATTTTTGCATAGCCCCTCTCTCTTTCACTTAGAAATGGGGAAAGGAAAAGTCTGTTCTAACTTGCAGATTATTTTGTTATCAGTCTTGAATTCCTGAAAGTTTTTTTAATTATTTTTTGCATCAGTCTCTAGTGATTGTGACAAAGTGATAATGGACTGTTTAGAGAACTGTCAGAGATGTTTTCCTCATACAGACCTTTAGCCATAACTGACAGTGTTGTGTATGTCCTGCTTCCCAATAGCATCGTTCAAATACACTTGGGGAATAAGGATCTCTGTCATAGCATGTGTTATCTCAGGTTGGAACAGGCCTGGGGAGGTAAATTCTCTGGGTTTTGAGTTATGGTGACGCTACTGTGGAGGGCAGGAGGGGCTGTTTGGGGCAGGGGGAGGGGAAGAGTTACCTTGTAGAGGTAGGCGAGAGTTCAAAGAAAGATGGGTGGAGGGGGATTGGGTTTGTTCTTTTCCCTTTTGGGACATTACAGTATTGTAAGTTTTATAAATCTTCCATTATTGCTTATTTGAAGTTAGATTTTATTGTAGGAATTCAGATACACATTGAACAAATGATGACTTTTCTAGAAAACCTTATAGTCAATACAGGTTTTTTGAAGAAGCAGTTATCTCTGCATCTAGGCGCAATACTTCTGCCGTGAGCAGATTAAACTTCTGTATTTGGTATGCAGTTATGGCAGATTCCCACAAACATCTGCCTTTGCTTCATTTGATTTTTCGTTTCAATTAACTATGCTTCATGAAGAAAATGCTATGTTCTGTAGTACGCTTAGATACGTTCTTAGGTTGCTGTTGTAGTATTTAATTGTCTTATATGTAAGAGATACACCTGTAATAGATGATGAAAAGTTTCTTCATGTAGAGTAGCAGCTGCTAGTGACTACTTGTTGCATTTGGTATATGTATGGAAACTAGTTGATGACTGCTTCTGTGGATGATAGATCTGACCTGATCTGTGATTTGCAGTTCTGTTGTCCAGCCATGTTTGCAAATGAAATTGGGATAAAGATTTGGTCTTGATGTGACTGAGTTAAGAGAAGCTGTCTCCCAGATCCCATAATCATCATGTGCTGCAGGATACAAGTAATACTTGCAGTGCTGGTTTATCTGCTAGTGTATATATGCTTTCAATAGATGGATAAAAAATTGAGTCTATCGAACATTCAGACACAGTAAAAACATCAGGCATTGTGGTACTTATGCATAGTTCATGATTGATGTGATTTAAAAAACACACAGGGTTTTGGGAAATCCTTAATTTTCAGATGGCAAATGTTCTCAGGTCTCTTCCCTACATATGTAAGTTTTAATGTCAATATATTACGGCGTTTAACATTATTTTCCAGTTCCTGTTGTCTCATGGTTTGTCTTCTAAGACTGTCCACCATTGCTTTATGCCAGATATCTGTGTTTTCTAGATAAATGTTTAGGAGAGGAATGTGGGGTTTTTTATACACAATTAAACATGACAAAGAATAAAGTAGCTTAAAATTGCTGGGTTTTATATAAATGGTCTAATACGTACCTTTTACTCATACCTTTTACTTTCCCCTTTTTAGATGTGTGGTCAGCAGGCTGTGTATTGGCTGAACTGTTACTAGGACAACCAATCTTTCCAGGTGACAGTGGCGTGGATCAGTTGGTGGAAATAATCAAGGTATGGAATTTAAGTATTGTTTTGACTGCTTTATTCCTTGGGAATCAGTGTGAAAACATAATTGTTAGAAACTTGTCAATGTACATATTCTGTCACCATTGTACAGGGTGTTGCATGTAAACTTGTGTTTGAAAACACTTCTCATGCGTTTTGGAGAACTTGATAATCTTTATTTGCCCCTCTTGCAGTCATGCATAATAAGATACCATCTTTCAGTTATATAGGTCTTTTCCCTCTTAAAGAATTGCAGTTTTAGTGTGTTTGGAAATAGCACTTACATACTGAGCCAGTATTTATTAATGTGTGATTTTCATTCTTTAAGAATCTGGCTCTTTTTCCTTTGTTGCATGAAATTAGTACTTGGCTTTGAAAACAGTGCTATTAAATTTCCTTTTGCCAGATTCTTCACATATGTAGCCTTCTTCTCTTCTTGCTTCCTTCCACCTCTTTGAGGTGAAAGGTGAGAAAGGGCACTCCTTTTTGCAGATGGAGAATCAAGAAATGTAGGGCAAAGGTACATTCCACCTGAAGAGTCTTGTTTTTCGGGTGAAAAAGACCTGATGTTGCAGAATACGTAACATTTTTATATCACTTATGTCCAAACACATCTTGATTGATTTCATTTGGTAAGCTGTGAATATGCTCAAATTAGAGGCATGAAGAATAATTCATAGATTAAAGGATTGGTGTCTGACTTCCCAGCACCCTAGTCTCCCCCGCCTCCTCCAACTTCTGCAATGAAGGAAGCAAGATTTCTGGAGAAAGCAGTATATTCCTCCTCTGAATCTATACTATGCACTTAAGATGGGTGTATTACAGAGGCTCAGTGCATGCACACACCGTTTGGCTTTACTGACTTTATCACCCCAAGAGGACTGCATTAAGAGAATCTCCTCCGTGGTTTTACCACTTAACTGCTACCTTGATGCATGTATATTTTTGTGGTGTGCATGTGAAAACCCCCTCAAACCCAACTACGTGGGGGTGGAAGAGTAGAACTTCCTACTTGCATCTGTGCTCTTTGCTGGAAGAGCTGGTGGTGTCTTTGTCCCCATCCTAATGCAGTATATGACACCAACAGCACCAAGTCGTTATCCTCATGCGTGGAGCGCATGGGCTGGTGAGGCTCATTGTTTCCGTGGCCTTCTCGATGGAGTATGCTCTGACCAGAAAGGCTCTCGCCACGACTCCTCCAGCCTTTGACCACGTAAACCTAGCTGCTATTACAGTGGGTTTCTGTCTGTCCTGCTGGAAATCCTCCAGTCAACAACTTTCCTCTGGAGGCTTCGTGTCTCACACCTACTTCTCCTGTGACTTTCTTATATTGCCTTTCTGCCGAGTGTATTTCAAGCTCAGCATATCCAAGTTGGGTCAGTTTACATAGGAAGCACTAGCGGAAAATTAGAGTTGCTGTCAGAAATAGATCTTATGGTGGCACAAGTGACAACTTTTTCCTTTTGAGAAGTGTCTTGGAGCAGTGTGCTGGTTTCTGCTACGCTGCTTTTGTGAGATGTGAAGCAGTCCCTGTGAACGCTTCAGATGGCCAGAGTTCCTGAGGAGTTTGTGCAGTAACCTGTGGCATTTGCCTTCAGGTGCTTTCAAAAAGTCCTGTTTGTTTCTTGATCTGTGTCTACAATCCCGAGAAACTATATCAAACAAGGTTTTCATAAATACAGCTGTTTATGTCACAATGACAGTCCTATAAGTCCTTCCATGGCTCAGTTAGAAATTTGAGAGTAGAGAGGCCTTATCAGCAAAACCATAGTGCTCTGCTTTACCATTGCTTTGATTTTCACAATGTGGAAATAAAATAATCAGGAAATAGATGTCCTCTCATTATTGACATGCTTGCCAAGATTGTGGTCTGGTTCAAAGTTTGCTAGAAGCTGTTACCAGTTAGACATGATGGAAGTAACTGTGAACTGATAATTTTATAGCACTTATGTGCTTCAGTTGTGATGATTCTGCTTTATCTGCACTTAAGTTGTATTGAAGCAGAGGATTAATTTAATAAAATTGCTGATAGCCTATGTACCATCTGTGGTTTCTTTAAATGGCACTACCATGAGAGGTACAGTAACTTTTATTGACCAGTTCATAGCTGAATACATAGTACTAGCAAATTAATGTTACTTCTCATGACAGCCAAAGGAGTATCCAGTATAAAGGCTTGAAATTCAGTAAATTATATCTTGAGATAATTATTTTCACCTCTGCAGAAACAAATTTAAGTCATTTCTTTAAATGTGGAAAGGGGGAATATTGAATGATCAACACCACCTGTGTTGTGTTGGGCTTTTCTCATTTTCTGTTAGATGTGTAGCCCCCTATGTATAGAAATTAAGTGAAACAAATATAGAGATAATTCCATTTTATAGTAAGCCCGGTCTCTTTAATTAAAAAGTTACAGTGCTGAGACAGTATGTTTTGGGAAAGTCTGAGAGAATAAATGCTGTAAATCCTGCAGTAGTAATCACAAAAAAAGGATGTTCATTGAATCGTTAAGGGAGTATGATGGAAAATGTGAGCCCGAATGGGTGGGTGCCATGAATATTTTTCTGCCTGTATATTTGTTACTGAGGCAGCATATATTCTCAAGGCACACTGGAAGAGAGAGTGAGTGCAAACTGCAGAAGAGAACGGTTTTTTGAAGACCTTGTCTACCAAATCTCATGTTGTGAAGTTTTATATAAACTATTAAGAAAAGCCTTGACAAATGGCTAAGGTTGAGAATATGGACTTATAATTGAGAACATTGCATTCAGAATCAACAGTAGTGAGAAATTGTCTAGGAAGCAATAAGGTGCTTCCCGTGTAATGCCATGCTCCCTGACAAGTATTTCTCATAGTGGGAGTAGAGGATGAACAGCATGTTTACCTCAAATTCCAAGTAATTTTTCCTCACCTTTTGAGAATGAGGAAAAAGCGGGAAGTCCTCAGTTTTCCATTCTGCCTGCTGTTGACAGGGATCTGTCCCATCTACTACACATCCCTTAAAAGTGACCAACAGTCAAATTGATTAGATCTGATTTTCAATTCTGCAAAGAAGTCATGAAACAGTCAGCTCTTCTCCACTCCCAGCGTGATGCTTAAATTCAACTTAAATTTGAAAGTTTAGCATAAAAACTGCAACCCGTGTTTATTGAGCGAGTTGGCTTCTGCAGCCTCAATACAGTTGAAGATATATAAGCAGTTTGGCAGCAAACAAATTGGCAGAAATGTTAAGTCTTGGGCACAACATGTAAAACAATAGATTGTACAAGATTTCATTTAGAATAGGATTAATTTTAAAAAATACTTTTATAAATAGTGTCCACCTCTTCCATTTGTTGCCATATAATACTATTGTTTAAAGCTTTCATCATAACAGACTTATTTTAATGCTAGCTCCAATGAGAAGCAGAGCTGTGGGATCTGCTGGTTGCTTGCAGAACAGCAATGAACTTTGTAGAAGGCTGAGGGTTGGGACCTATGAGCTGCTGTTTGATTAGCTCGGAGTCATGCTTTTCAGATAGCTTCTTTGGAACTGCATGTCTGAAACTTAGGGGCAGAGAAAATGGAGTATTTTAAACTCCCAAAAAGGGCTATGGTAAAAGAAATTTTTCCACACATTTGGAAATGCATATGACTTTCATCCTTTACGTTTACTTGGTTCCACTGCAAGAGAAGGCAGTTTGGAAACTTTTCAGCTGGTTCACATCAATTCAGGATGACTGAATCACAGTCACTCTTGTAGCATTTTAACTGAAATAAGTTTTTCAGTTGTCTCTTTAGTTGCTTACTCAGTTTTGCTTATTCTGAGTTCCTTTTACAACACAGCGATTGGATGCTACATCTGGGTATGAAGACTTTGCATTAGGCTGGAGAATGACTTAAAAATGGCATCACATTAAACCAGGCCTCCCTTCTCGTGCAGTTCTTAATGACATCCCCTCAGTAGCTGTGTTCATGAAGATAGAACTTCTGTGATACGTCATTTGGCACGGCTTGTCCTTCCTACACGCTCTGTGCCCAACATCTTCAGTCCCTTACTGCATCCAAAGCATTTTTGGCTTTTGGCAGATTTTGAGTCACTTTCAGCAGCCTTCACATAGTTTCATTTCAAGCAGTCTTGGAAGATCTTCTCCATCCAGTTGCACTTTGAGTTTCTCCAGGCCTATAGCAAACTGCTTCAAAAAACTGTGCTCCTCTAGAACCACAGCATCACATTTGTGAGAATTAAAACACAGTCCCCTTCTTTTTATGTTGTTTTTCGCTTGTTCCTGTTTCTTTAAAGACAGTCTTTCCAGATGTTCTCAAGCTGGCAGGGAATGAGAGATCTTTGGCCACTTACCCCTGACAAAATGATATTTGATATGGGGAAATACTGTCTTGGAGCTTCAGCTGAAGAAATAATTTAACCCAAGTACATTCTTCTTGAATACTTACACTATTACAGGAGAGAAATCATGTGCTGTGCTTTTTCCAAAGTTTGATGGTGACTCTTCCTCCTTATTTTTAGCTCTTGCTAGCTATTCCAAATGTTAGGTTATCGCATCGCTGGGAATATCTCAAGTTGGTAACCTGATACGTTCATTAAAATTCATGCCCCTACTGGCTTTCGAGTGACATCTCTTTCAGAAATGTGCTTAGTTTCTGAAGCAGGAGCAGTGGCGGTGTGGATTTCATCAGTGATTGCGTAAAGAAATTATGTATGAGTAAACGCTACACCTTGGAGCAGTCATATAGTCCTGTCCCTAATGGCAGGGTGAAAACTCCTCCTTTCAGCAGCCCAGAAGGGTTGCAGTTGCCATTTCTCTATTTAAAATGCACCATGCAAGTGGGAGACCGCTCACTACAGCTCAAAAGAAGGAGCTCTTAGACCACTAGACTTTTCTTTTTTTTTTTTCCCCCCCGAGATGTGGTCAGGGCAGACTCCGTTAAGTCTCCAACCCTGTGCACACAGTTTGCAGTGCAGCAGTGGTGTCTGCAGGACTGCTGTGCCCCCTGTGAAAGTTTGG